TATATTTATTAATACACAATGAGCCATGTCATATTTATTATTTATTTTCAAATAAAAATGAAATTACATTTATCATATTTAATCTAATTTGATTATTGGATTTTACATTTAATTTAGCATTTTATAATTTCATGATATCATATATATATATATATATATATATATATATATATATATATATATATATATATATATATATATATATATATATATATAAAATTAAGCCTCCTTTTATTTTTTCTTATATTTTTTGAACCTCCATTGTGGAAATCATGTCGCCACCCCTCTCTTGTGATCTTGCGATCGGTTGGGGGGCCCTGACCCCCACTTTGGGTTAGGGTTGAGGCTTTTTTAGAGCAGGTGTTTCCAAGCTTTTTGGGCGGGGCCCCTAAGTTAAAGATGCCACAGAATGGTGACCCCTAAAGATATATAGTAATTATTTAATTTATTTATCTAAATGAGAGTTCTGTCACCTGGGCACTCAAGCACCAGATGGCTTTTTGTAACGTTTACAAAGGCCCCTTAAAAGTGGGCTTAAATTATGTAAAGAAGCACCTAATGCAGTATAACAACAAATACCAGCATTAAAAGCTTTGGAATCTTTCTTAAAGAATATTTGGTTTGATTTTCAGAGCAAAATGATGCTAAAAGAACCAGTTAGGTCTTGAGATTTTCATTTGTTATCAATAGCTTAGAAATATATATTTTTTTACATCAAATAATATCTTATGGAAAAAAAATCACACTAAATATATTGAAATTTAATGAAACAGTAATAAGCTGTGTTTTATTAAATAGTTGGATTGGCTCTTTGGATTTCAAAGGTTACGTACCCCTGATCTTAATATATCAAGCACAGTAATAACATTACTTTTGAAATATATTTTTTAAGTGATATTGTCAGGTAGAGTGGAGCTTTAAAGAAGACCCAATTCAGACACTGAAGCTGAAGGTGGTTTTTATTCGATTTAATAGCAAAAAGGTGGCAACTGAAGCAAAAATCCAAAAAATAACGAAATGCATAATTACCATAATACAGAAGGACATCAGGAAAAACACACACAAGGAGCCAAGAAATGACGAGGAACCAGCAAACATTGACTGAACAGGAGGTGTATAAATGGGAGACTGAACAAAGACCAGGCTAATCAGCAGATTGGGAGCAGGTGTGGACAGAGGAGTCTAGAACGGAGCTAGGAGAAGGAGACTGGCAACAGTGGGTAAACAAGAAATGCACTAGAAAATATAACCTAAAACAAATAGAATAACTCTAAATGGAAAATGGAAAACACAGAAAGACATGAATCAAAGTATAACTGAAAACTCAAAAAGAAAAATTTAACAGAAACAAAAAGTGCAGAATCATGACAGATGATTAGTTATTTAGCTAATCATTTCCAACATATTTTTATTCATAATAATAACATTTCCTTTTTGATTGTACATTTTACATTGTTACAGTATATTTTATATTAAGATGAAATATTTGATAAATAAATAAATGTTACATACACATATTTTATGGTACATGTCTTTATTTATTTCATGGGACATTCATGTTTATGTTTATATTGATTTTAAATATTTCTATAGAATCTGGCCATCTATATTGTTCAGGGATCATATTGGAATGATTATGAAATCGAGATCATAACCTCCCCAGGGGGCCATGACCCCCACTTTGGGAACCCTTGCTTTAGAGGAAACAGTCACCCATGATTCCTTGGGTCTGCTGAGCCTATACTGGTCTGGAGACCGATAGGGGTCAAATTATGATTTTTAACGATTAATTATGATCTGATCCCTGAGGTATATGGAGGCTGGAAATATGTCATGGCATACATGAATATGCTATGGACTAATGAGATGAAATATATGTTTTATCTAATACATGATACAAATAGTAAATATAATAATCAATAGAAACTAAATTTAATAATTAAAAGTCCCAGAAAAAAGGACTGAATGTCATTTAAAACATTAATATTAAAACCTTATTTAAAAATGCATATTATTACTTAAGTTTATAATTCTAAATGAAAATTAAGTGAGGTTATTGTTAGTTAAGGGGGTGGGCCCTCTCTGTTCATGCAGAGGCCCTCATGTATGGGGCCCACTGAAATAAGAGGAGAGCAAAAAAAACAACAGGCGAAATGTATAGATACATTCAGATCTTTAATGGAATAATTGTTTTTGATATTTTCCTGTCTATTAATATGCATTCTCTCTCTCCTTTTTACTTCCCTTCCTTTTTTTTTACATCACCTTCATCTCCCTATTTATTTCTTCTATTTCCCTTCCACTCTTCTTGTTGATTTTGTATTGCTCTCCCTTTTTCCTAATCTTTTTTCTACTTCTTCTCTCCCTTTTACTCAAATTCCTCTCCATGTTTTTTTTGTCCCTTTTCTCATCTTTTTTGTATTTATTCCCTTTTGTCTCTAAAACATGAATGTGTGTCTCAGCCCATCTTAGAGTGAAGATGATCCATATTCAGTGATTTAAGAACCCCACAGCCTGAAGTTTTCCTAGAAACACAGCAAAAAAAACATGTCCAAAAAGATGTCTGCTTTGCTTTTGCTGCAGGTTGTGTGTTGCCAGGGACGCCACCAGGAATTTTGGGGCCCCATGAAAGACATTGATATTGGACCCCACACACAAAAAAAAAATGTATGTAAGCTTTTTAACTGCTATAAGAATGCATTGCTTTCTTTCATTCATGTAAAATGAGGTCCGCGTCGCACTTATGTCCCAGTACGAGCAAAGTGCCGGTGACAGACGGGGAGACGTGATGCGATGCAGGATGGGGGTTTAGGACAATATATCAATGCTT